CTGCAACCAAGCACTATGATTGCGTAAGGCCATCTCTTTAAGGAAGCGCGTTGGAAACTAAAAAAAACTGAAAAAGCTGAAACCAAACTGAAAAAACTGGAAAAACAACTGAAAAAACTGAAAAACCAAGGATTCAGGAGGAAATGGCGGCCCCCCCAGGCATGTCTGCCTGAATCCTTGGTTTTTCAGTTTTTCAGTTTTTTCATTTTTCTCCTAGTATTCGCCTTTATTATTCCCCTAGTGTTGTCTGAACAACCAAGCACTGTGCTTGCGTAAGGGCATCTCTTCAAGGAAGAAGCGCGTTGGAAACTGAAGAAACTGAAAAAAACTGAAAAAGCTGAAAACAAGCTAAAAAACTAAAAAAAAAAAAAGAAACACTGAAAAACCAAGGATTCAGGGGGACCTGGGCCCCCCCCAGGCATGTCCCCCCAAATCCTTGGTAATTCAGTTTTTCAGTTGTTTTTTCATATGTTTTTTCAGCTATTTTGTTTTTTTTGCAGTTTTTGCAGTTTTTCTCAGTTTGTATGCTTCAGTTTTTCAGTTTTTTTCTTCAGTTTTTTTCAGTTTCCCCCTAGCATTAACCTTTATTACTCCTCTAGTATTTTCCGAGTATTCCCCTAGTCTTCCTTGAGTATTTCCCTTCTATTTGCCCTGGTATTCCTTTAGTATTCTCTTGGTATGCCCCGAGTATTTCCTAGTAAGGGAAGGGGAATACTAGGGGAATACCTTCAGTATTGCCCTAGTATTCCTTAAATATTATCTTGGTATACCCCTAGTATTCTCTCAGAATTCCCCTAGTATTCTCCTAGTGTTCACCTTTGATATTGCCCTAGTGTTCCCTGAGTATTTCCTTAGTGTTGCCCTATGATTGCCCTAGTATTCCCCGTTTTTTGCCCTAGTATCAAGTTAATTTAGTAGTCTCTTGGTATATCTAGTAAAGGGATGGAATTACTAGGGGAATACCTTTAGTATGCCCTGGTATTCCTTAAGTATTCTCTTGGTATACCCCTAGTATTCTCTCAATATTCTCCTAGAGTTCTTCCAGTATTCACCTTTAGTATTTTTTAGTACTTCCCTAGTAGTGCCCCAGTATTGCCCTAGTCAGGAAGCCTGAGAGAAGTCAGACAGATTCCCCTAGTATTCCCTCAGTATTCCCACGTATTATCCTAGTATTCACCTTTAATATTGCCCTAGTATTCCTTGAGTATGTACCTAGTATTGCCCTAGTATTGCCCTAGTATTGCCCTAGTATTGCTCTAGTACTCCTTTAGTTTTCTCTTGGTATACTCATAGTGTTTCCTCACTACCCCCCTAGTGTTCCCCAAATATTTCACTAGTAAAGGAAGGGGAATATTAGGGGAATACCTTCAGCAGAGCTAACTAACTAGGCAGCTAACTAGATAACTAACTGATTAGCCAATTAACTAGCTAACTAGCTTTAGAGCTAATTCATTACAACTATTTCACTGACTAATTAGCTGACTTGCTGACTGTTTGTTTGACTAACTAATTGAACTTGCCAACATTTACTGCTTGAACTTGAAAAATACGCGTTTCGCAGAGGCGAAATTTCTCAAAAGTAGCATTTTTCCAGTGATTCTGGCAATTGTCCAGGTTCGAAACCTGGGTTTTGGAGGGGGGGGGTGCATATATATATATATATACATATATATATATATATACATACATATATATATATATACACACGCGCGCGTATGAATATGCTTGTGACTATTTGCGTTTGTTTGCTTGTGTGTGTGTGTGTTTGTTTGTTTGTTTGTTTGTTTGTTTGTTTTTGTTTGTTTGTTTGTTTGTTCGTTTGTTCGTTCGTTCGTTCGTTCATTTGTGTGTTTGTTTGTTTGTTTGTTTGTTTGTTTGTTTGTTTGTTTGTTTGTTTGTTTGTTTGCTTGCTTGCTTGCTTGCTTGCTTGCTTTTGGTTGCTGAAGAAAGACAGACCACAAGAACGGGCGACGCAGCAACATCCTACCCGCAAAAAACAGAAACAAAGATAAAAGGGCGAAGCGGCGCCAGCCCACGCCGCTAGTGGAGGCAATCCGCTCCCACAGCACCTGGCCGCACGGACATGTCTGTCCTGCGACGTGAGCCTGGGTCTCTCCTCTGTCAATCTGTAAGCTATACAAGTCCGAGCGCTCCATGGCCACCACAAGGCCCGAGCACGCCTCAAAGGAGAGGAAGCCTCAGCATAGCACGCCGCCAGGGACCTAGTGCAGATTCGCCACGTAAGAGCAGAAAGGACCACCCCCCCAATTGCCCTGGTTGCAGGACATGTCTCCGGATCTGCGCGTGAGGCTAGGGCTGAAAAACAAAGCGTGTTGCATGGGAATAAGGAAGCCTACCGTGAGCTGCGTGAGCTCATAGAACGCCGCCGTGCAGAGAAGGGTTGATGAAAACACGGATGCTGGGCGGCGCTGGGTTGATGGCTTCGGAGCAGGAGCAATGCGGACAGCCGAGTCGGTCTAGGTCTCATCGAAGGGCGCAGGCCGCCCGTGACTATTGGCGTGGCTTTTGGACCGAGCGCAGCCCAGCCCGCCCTGATGTGAACAAGGTCGCTCACCGCTTGCTTCAGGCATGTCCAGTTGACGTAGCGTTGTGCTTCACCAGCCGGATGCCAACATCGCATCGCACTGCGCCAAGGTGTAAAACAATGAAGCGCTTGACATCATACGTTGGAAGCAGTGGAAGTGGCTTGACTGGCCTCAGCAGTTCAGGCGTCATCAGTTAGCGGTGTCCTCAGCAGTTCATGTCTCGCAGCGCTCCATGAGATACCGCTTATGGCAAGTGTCTTCGTTGGCGGGAGACTTGGTGTAGTGCTCCTGCCACCTACAGACAGAGGAAGAATGTGGCTAGGGACATTGTGGACAAAGAAAAGCATTTGCAAACAGGTTTTTGACGCACGCAGACGACACAGACACACACGTGCTCCCGCCTGACTTTTTGTTTGCGTATGAATCTCTGTTTTGTTTGCTTGTGCGTTCGTTTTGTTTTGTTTTTGTTTGTTTGTTTGTTTGTGTGGTTGCTTTGTTCTCTGTCTCTGCCTGCCTGCCCTGCCCTGCTCTGCCCTGCCCTGCCCGCTTGCTTGCCTGCCTCTCTGCCTGCAGGCCTGCCTGTCTGTCGCGTTTAACGTTTGTTGCTTTGTTTTGTTTTATTTTGCTTTGGTTCGTGTTGTTTTGGCGTTTGTTGATTGGTTGTGTCTATGTCTTTGTCGCGCCTGTGTCCGTGTCTTTCGCGCGCTTTCTTGTCGATGTAATGGAGTGATGGATCATGGGCCCTGCGAAGCTTATGATATCCAACAACAGGCGACGTGCCCTGGCCTCTTGTTTCGCAGTGATGGCAGGACCTTTGTGACAAAACATGTTGCCGAAGCAGCAGCTGCCGAGGACTTTGGCCTGAGACAGCAGAGCGATGACTCAGCATGTTCCAAAGCTGTTGCTGGCGGATCTCACGAAATGCCACCGATGAGGCCTGACGCGCAGGAGCAGGCAAGGCAAACTCGCTTTCATTTCTCGAAGGCGCGTCGTACTTGCCACGCTCTGCATAAGATGCGTTTGAGAGCAAGATACGTGCTTGCTATCGGCCACTTCTGTTTTGACAATGACGCATCAGCAAATGTTCCTGACGCTGAGAATGCTTTGGTTAATTATTTGGTGTCCATTGAAGTACGCAACTCCCACATGCTCTTTAGGACGTCCTCCAACCCCTGAAGGAAGCGCACTACGAGAAGAAAGACGCATTCGCGAGACCGACATTCACTCCTGCTCTTTTCAGCATCACAAAATGATTTGGGCAGCATACTGTCGATGGCGTGTTTTGAGCAAGCAAGGCTTGGACTATTTGCATTTTGCGACAGTATCGCTGAGGTACCTTTACCCAGTTTGAACTTGACAAGCAAGAAGAGGCCTATGCTGTTGATGGTGCCGTCAGCCGAGTGCTGTACTCGCAGGATGCCGCGCGGCGAACGATGCACCAATGCAAGACTGACATGCGCAGCACATCATTCCTTTCAGACTTGAAGATCCTGACTATTCCCAACAACCCAGTAGAGCCAGTGCAAATGAGCTAGGTGTTTGCTGCGCCCAGGCAAAGACCACCTCAACGCAGCCACGTGGGACCTGGGTCTCGAGGATGGTAAAACACACCTTCTTCGACCTTTTCTGTGCTTTGCGTCTTGGCTTAGATGTGGTTGTTTGCAGCTCCGAGGCGCATGCGCCGTTGCGGAATTGTTCCCGCTGTCGATGCATTTTCTTCACACACTACATCAATGTTTACTGGGGACCCATTGTTGACAGCTGATCAGTTCTTTGTCATCCAGAAGCTTGCAGCAGTTGTCACATGCCAAGTGTCATCATCACCAACTCCATTTTCCTTGGCGTGGAAGTCGAGCTCACAATCGCACAGCCAGAGAGTTTCCAGCAAGGCGACGCTGTGCGCATCACCATTTTGCCGTCGCTCAGTTGCTTTCCTGCCTGGACACGGTTGTGGTGTGCATGCTGCAAGCTTGGCTTATTTGGCTTGCTTGTGTTGAGGGATTTGATGACTTGCGCACGCATGCCATGAAGAGCGCTTGTGTTTTGTCAGACCCTAGTGTACAAGCTTTGTTGGGGCTCCTGGTTTGGAGGGGGGGGGAGAGGAGGCTGAAGTCAAGTCTGTTTGATTGATCCAATTGGTATGCTTTCTTTTATGACCTTAGCAGTTCTTCAGGATGTGTGCTCAAGGCCCAAGTGTGTGCAATTCTGGAAACACTCTCCTTGCATCTTTTTGCAGTGACTAAGAACGAACCCGTCGCCAGACCTGCTGATTCAGGCGTACACGTGATCCAGTATGTGTATGCTGCGTGGTTCCTGCTGGAGCTGATTCTTCGAGTCTACGTGGACGGTCGGGGCTTCTTCTGTGGAGAGGCGGGATGCAAGGCAACAAATCCTTCTCCATGCTCTGTGCTCGGAGGACTGGCTATGGGGAATGCTGGACGTGTTTGTTGTGATGAGTTCCATTTGGGAGCTGGCTGTGGATATTGTCCTTGGGACAGGATTTGGCAGCGCTTTGCTTTTTGCATCGGGTTTCGAAGGCGAGATCAAAACGACATGCGCTGTGCCTCTCGCAAGGTCTATGCACTGCACCAAGACGGCCCTGGGGGAGTTACAAGCGTATCTGGCCTCAAAGCTCTCAGGATCATTCGAATTACTCGAGTCCTGGCTGCAATGTCTTCGGAGCGGATGCTTCCACCAGGCTCTTCGATGAAGCGCTCGAGCACTCCTGTAGGCTTTGCAGTGTTTGACGTTTGCCTCCTTCGGGACTACAAAGGCCTTGTGCACAGTCTTTCTTGTTTCAGACTCGGACCTTGTCACGCACGACTTGTCTCCCCGCGTGTTTCCCACTGGTTTCCCCGCTTTTCTGCCTGCTTATGCTGCCCTGCTTGTGCCTTGTGCCTCGGGCGCTTACAACTCCCAGTGCCAAGTGATAGATGAAGGTTAGAAAGGGACAATCCCAACCATAAATAGCTGCGGCCGCCTTCTTAACTCTGTACATGGTTCTGGATAGACCATTTTAGTACCAGGTTTTGATTGCGACTCAAGTGGTTGTTGGCGCAGCAATTGTTCCACACCTCCCAGTGGTGGGGTGCTCCAATCCGAACTGTTGGGGGCGCCGGTTGGATCCTTAGGGGGGTTGGCGCCGGGCCGCCCCTGGGTCGAGCCCCGTTTGGCAGGTTGTCCGACCGTCGGCGTGTCTGAGTGCGCCGGCGCTTCCCGTTAAGGGTTGCCGGGCTTCCACACCACTTTCGGAAATGCAGGTGTAAATGACAACCTTTCCGGCCTGCGCGATTGTCATGTTTTCTCCTTGTTCAGTTGCCATCAACCTGCGACACATCCTCATGCAATCCCTCGCCGCCGGCGGGGTGTGGGGAACCTGCTTGCTTTTTTGGTGCTCCATGACATGTGAAAAACCGAGGCTGCGAAAGACTTGACTTCTTTGCAGCCCCACTCATGCGAGGCAATGCCTTGTCCTGGACTCGTGCGCAGACATCGTCTCCGGTTGTTGGCAATTTCTGATGGAGGGCCATTTTTTAGGTTTTCTTTTCGTTTTTTTGTTTTTTTTTGATTTTTTGTTTTTCAGGGTGGGTGGCTTTTCGGCTTTTTGGCTTTTGTGGCTTTTACGTTTGTGGCTTTTGTGGCTTTTCATTTCGCATCCTCTTCCTCTCTTTTCGCATCCTCTGCATTGCCAGTTCCGCTGTGGCAGGTGGCTTTTTGGCTTTCGGCGGCTTTCTGGCTTTGGCTTTTCGCATCCTCTGCTTTCCCAGATATATATATATATATATATATATATTTTTCCTTGGCTTCCTGCATGCTCAGCATCGCAAGTTCCTCCCACCACCCCCCTTTCGATAAAATACACGCCTTATTGAATCATCACTTTTTCGATCATCATGCGACAGCTACTTTTTAGATTCTTTGCCCCTAATTTTTCGATCATCATGGGGGGGGCTGCCGCCCCCCCAACCCCCCCGCTGCTTTTTTATATTGTATTTTTTGGCCCTAATTGAACCATCGTTTTTCCAATCATCATGGGGGGGGTGCCGTCCCCCCCAACCCCCCGCTATTTTTTAGACTTTTTGCCCCTAATTGAATCATCACTTTTTCGATCATCATTGCGCCCCGCCATTTCCCTTTCGATTAAAATGCACGCCAAATTGAATCATCACTTTTTCGATCATCATGCGACAGCTACTTTTTAGGTTCTTTGCCCCTAATTTTGCGATCCACTTTTTCAATCATCATGGGGGGGCCGCCCCCCCCCAACCCCCCGCTACGTTTGGGGTGTTTTACAGGGATTAGTTTGCCCGTTTTTGAATCCTCACTTTTACCAGGCCTTGCCGCAGAGGAACTGATGATGCTGAAGATGCAGGAAGCCAAGGCCCTCGATTTGCTGGTGATGCTGGGGATGTTGGCTGGACATGCGGGGGACGTTGAAAACGATGCTGATGATGAGAAAATGATGTAAATTACAGCATTTTAGTGGCCAGGACGGAAAGCAAAAAACAACCCAAAATAAAACAACAAATCCCAAATTAAATCTCGACCCATTTCTGATGTGCGGCTGTTTAGCATTGGTGCCAGTTGAATGACGGAAGGCGAAGTCAGACACGAGCGCAAGCCAACAAAAACGCACTCGCGCACGCGCACGCGCACATGCGCGCGCGCACCCACCCACACAGACACAGACACAGACACAGACACAGACACAGACACAGACACAGACACAGACACAGACAGAAGACAGAAGACAGAAGGCAGAACACGAAGGACAGAGACACAGACACAGAGATAGACAGAGACACAGACGCAGAGACACACACACAGACACAGACAAACAGACGCACACACACACACACAGACACACCCATACACAGATACACAGACACACCCAGACACAGAGACGCACACGCAGAGACACACACACACAGACACACAGACACGCAGACGCACAGACACACAGACACACACACACACAGACGCACAGATGCAGACACACAGACACACAGACACATCAAGACACACAGACACGCATACACACAGACACAGAGACACACAGACACACAGACACACAGACACGCAGACACACGGACACACGGACACGGACACACAGACACACAGACGTACAGACATACCGACAGACACAGACACAGACACAGACACAGAAACACACAGACACACAGAGACACACGGAGACAAGCAGACACACACACACACAGAGACGCACACAGACACACAGACGCACACAGACACACACACACACAGACACACGCACACAGACACAAGCACACACACAGATACACAGACACACCCAGACACAGAGTCGCACACGCAGAGACACGCACACACACACGCAGACACACGCACACACAGACACACACACACAGACACAGACACACAGACACACAGACACACAGACACACCGACACGCCGACACGCAGACACACAGACACACAGACACACAGACACACAGACATGCAGACACGCAGACACACAGACACACATAGACACACACACACAGACACACATAGACACACACACAGGCACACACATAGACACACACACACACAGACACACAGACGCACCGACACGCCGACACGCAGACACACAGACACAGACACACACACAGACACACACACACACACACCCACGCACGCACGCACGCACGGACGCACGCACGCACGCTCGCACGCACGCACGCACGCACCCGCACGGCCGCACGCACGCACGCACGCACGCACGGACGGAGGCACGCACGCACGCACGCACGCACGCGCGCGCGCACACACGCACGCGCGAACGCGCGCACGCGCGCACGCGCGCGCGCGCGCACGCGAACACGCGCACACGTGCACATGCGCACACGCGCGCACGCGCACACGCGCACACGCGCACACCCGCACACCCGCACACACGCACACTTGCACACACACACACACACACACGCACGCACGCACACACGCACACACGCACAGACGCACAGACGCACAGACGCGCACACGCGCACACGCACACACGCACGCACGCACACACGCACACACACGCACACACGCACACCCGCACACGCCCACACGCGCACACGCGCACACGCGCACACGCACACACGCACACACGCACACACGCACACACGCACACACGCACACATGCACACACACTCACACACGCACACACGCACACACGCACACAGGCACACACGCACGCACGCAGCGCACAAGCGCACAAGCGCACAAGCGCACAAGCGCACAAGCGCACATGCGCACAAGCGCACAAGCCCACAAGCCCACAAGCCCACAAGCCCACAAGCGCACAGGCGCAGAAGCGCACAAGCACACAAGCCCACAAGCGCACAAGCACACAAGCGCACAAGCGCACAAGCACACAAGCGCACAAGCACACAAGCGCACAAGCGCACAAGCGCACAAGCGCACAAGCGCACAAGCACACAAGCGCACAAGCGCACAAGCACACAAGCACACAAGCACACAAGCACACAAGCGCACAAGCACACAAGCGCACAAGCGCACAAGCACACAAGCGCACAAGCGCACGGACGCACGGACGCACGCACGCCCGCACGCCCGCCCGCACGCCCGCACGCACTCCCGCGCGCACACACCCACACGCACACGCCCGCACGCACACGCACACCCACACACACACCCACGCACGCACGCACGCACGCAAGCACACACACACACACCGGCCAACCGGCCGGGCAGCCAACCAAACAACCAACCAAGCAAGCGAGCGAGGCAAGAGCGCAGTCAGACAAACACATCGATACACTCACACACACAGGAGCGCGCAGCGCAGAAAAACAATCACGAACACAAGCGAACCCGCCAACAAACCGACATGCAAAAAAAGCGAACGAACGAACAAGCAAGCAAACAACGGAGCAAACGGAACAAAACAAGCAAACAATCGCTCAAAGCACAAGCAAGCGCAAGCAAGCAAGCACAAGCAAGCACACAGGCACATGAACAAACACAGGCAAGCACAAGCAGTCAGACAGAAAAATGAGTAACCGAGCGACCAAACAACCAAACAAACAATCAAACCAACAAGCAAGCAGTAAAGCAAACAGACAAACACGTAAACACGACCCCACAAACGCACAATCGCGCGATCACAAACACACACAGATACACACAAGAAAGAAAGAAAGAAAGAAAGAAAGAAAGAAAGAAAGAAAGAAAGAAAGAAAGAAAGAAAGAAAGAAAGAAATGGAAAGAAGGCAGGAAGGCAGGAAGGAAGGGAGGGACGGAGGGAGGGAGAAAGGAAGGAAAGAAAGAAAGAAATGCAGGAAGGAAGGGCAGAAAGAGAGAGAGAGAGATGGAACGAAAGAAAGAAAGAAAGACAGAACAAGCAAGCGAGCAAGCAAGCAATCAAAGAATCACAGAAGCAAGCAAGCAAACACAACAAGCCGCCAAACAAACAGAAAGCGCACGAACGAACTGGCGAACAAACAAACACAAACACGCAAACAAGCAAAGAAGTGAACGAGGAGGCAAACTAAGTAAGCAAACAAACAACCAGAAACAAAACCAAACCAATCAAACGCAAACAAACACAAACACAAACACGAACTAACAAACGAGCAGACAAACAGAGACATACATAACTATTTAAGGAAAGACAGAAAGAACCACAGATGTTTACACCTATAGATAGACTAGATAGATAGATAGACAGATAGAGAGATAGAGAGATAGATAGATAGATAATAGACAGATAGAAAGCTAGACACATAGAAACATAGAAAGAAGCAAAGGAAAACAACCACGTAAAAACACAACGCAAAAGAACGGTCAAACAGACAGACAAGCGAACAATCGCACGAACGCCCAGACAAACCAATCAACAGACAGACGAACCGATAGACAGACAGACGCAAAACAAACAATCAAACAAAACGAAGGAAGAAAGGAACCAAGCAACAAAGAGGCAACAAAAGGAAGGAAGGAAGGAAGGAAGGAAGGAAGGAAGGAAGGAAGGAAGGAAGGAAGGAAGGAAGGAAGAGGAAGGAAGGAAGGAAGGAAGAGGAAGGAAGGGAGGGAGGAAGGAAGGAAGGCAGGAAGTGAGGGAGGGAGGAAGGGAGGAAGGGAGGAAGGGAGGAGGGACGGAGGGACGGAGGGACGGAGGGACGGAAAGACACGCAGCAAGAAAGACACACAGAAAGAAAAAACGTACGCGCAGAAAGAAAAGAAAGAAAAATGAGAAAGAAAGAAAGAAAGAAAGAAGGAAAGAAAGAAGGAAAGAAAGAAAGAAGGAAAGAAAGAAAGAAAGCAAGAAAGAAAGAAAGAAAGAAAGAGAGAAAGAGGCAAACATGCAAGAAAGAAAGGAAAGAAAGGAAGAACAAAACAAGGCAACAACGAAAGAATAAACAAAAACAAGGAACAAAGAAACAATAACATAAATAAGCAAACAATGAATGAACGCGGGAAAGGAGGAACAAATCAAGAAACACAGAGAAACCAAACAAAGAACAGCGAACCAAAGAAGCAAAGAAACAAACACGAAACAACGATACGAAGAAACAGGCGAGCAAGCAAGCAAGCAGGCAGGCAGGCAGGCAGGCAGGCAGGCAGGCAGGCAGGCAAGATGCAAGCAAGCAAGCGAGCAAGCAAGCGAGCGAGCAAGCGAACTAAGCAGTGACAGACAGTCATGCGTGCAAAGGCGCGCAGGCAACTGAGCAAACCGACGAGAAGGCACACAAACAAGCAAATCAAGAAACCGACGTGCAACACGCCAACCAGCCAACAACATGACAAGCCTGCGCAAGACTTTTGACAGAAAACAGCGTCAGAAACAAGCGCGCAAGACAGCAAGCAAACCAGATTGCAACCGCACTAACCAATCAACCAGTTTGAGCGTTCAGCTAGCCAGCCGGCCAACCAACCAACCAACCAACCAAACAAACATACAAACACGCAAGACAAACCAACATCGAGCAAGCAAGCAAACAACAAGCGTGCAAGCAAGCAAGCAGAACAAGCAGGCGAGCGAGCAAGGCAGCAACCAACCAACCAAGCAGCGCGCAAGCGAATAAGCAAAATGAAAGAAGGAAAGGAAGAGGGGAGAAAACGAGAACAATTTGTACAAAAGAGAAGGCAAGACAAGAAAAGAACAGAAAGAAAGGAAAGCAAACAATCAAGGAAATAAACGAAAGAAAGAAGCGAAAGAAAGAAAGGAAAGAAAGAACGGACAGAAAGAACGGCAAGAAGGAAAGAAAAGACGGAAAGAAAGAAAGGCCGAAAGAAAGAAAAAGGAAAAGAAGGGCCAGACGGAAAGGAACAAAGCCAATAGAGAAAGAAAGGAATAAAGGAGAAGACAGGAAAGAAAACGAGGAGCCAAACAAAGACAAAAGTAAAGGTAAAACGAGCAAGCGTGAAAGAAAAGAAGAAAGAACAGAAATTCAGAACGACAAGAATGAACCACACCAACGATGAACAACCAAGCCAGTGAAAGAAGACGGCAGCGGGCAAGCAAGCGAGCCGGCGAGCAAGCAGGTACACAAGTGACCAAGAATCTACGCACAGCGACACACACCAACACATACCAACACATACCAACACATACCAACACACACCAACACATACCAACACATACCAGAACGCCCCGCAGCACAGCAACACACAGCAACGCGGACGCCAACACGCACACACACACACACAACGGCGCAAAGCAACACGCGCTAGCAGGCACCCAGGGACACACGCGCCGCACACACACACACACACACACACACACACACACACACACACACACACACACACACACACACACACACACACACACACACACACACACACACACACACACACACACACACACACACACACACACACACACACACACACACACACACACACACACACACACACACACACACACACACACACACACACACACACACACACACACACACACACACACACACACACACACACA